TTTCTGAAGACAGAGTAAGTGAATGGTCTTGCAGATCGGTAGATGAAGTTTCAACAACAGGAACGGAGCCCGACAGCTCAGAGGATAAGGGCCCAAATGGCAGAGGAGTAGAATTCTCAGGGGTGCTGTTTTTAGGAGCCTCCATTCTAGCTATTGGCGAATCTTGGGCAAGGGCCTCAGTCACGAGGTTAGTAGAGAGGGGAGTATCAATAAGAACAGCTTCAGGAGATGACATTTCAATGCCTTCTGGAGCCCAAACAGAGGCGACAGGAGCCAAAGGGTTATCATCACCCTCTGAGTCAGTCTCCTCCAACTCTTCCTCAGTGGGGATAACAAAGTCGAAGTCGAGGTCTGGGTAGGCCTTCTCCGCTTTGCGCTGAAAGGTCAATCATCCTAAGGCCCACTTGGTGGTGACATCATTCTTCAGCTCGACTATTATGTTAAAGGTACTCCCTGATAGTTGTCTTCTGTACCTTGAGCTCACCACATAAGCTCTCGTTCACCTCAATCAGGGTAACATACTCCTTTCTAAGGCTCTCGAGGGAGCTCCAAGCATCAAAGGTTTCCTAGCTAGCTTTAGTCCAAGCATTAGTTTTGAGTAACAGCTCTTCCCGGGTCATTCTCAGTTCATCCCTGACCTTATTCTCTCTTTCCTTATTCCTATCCTTAGTAGCTTGAAGGTCTTCATAGTCAAAGGTCTGCTTCTCCATTTGTTCCTCGAGCTTTTGCACCTGAGCTCTGAGGCCCTCATTGTCAAAGGTCAGCTCAGCGACCTTAAACTCATGTACCTTCAAAGCTTTGGTCGAATCCTCCAAAGATCGGACCCTGCCCATCAAGTTCTTCAAATAGAGAGCCATTTGTGGACAAAAAAGGAAACATGTATTGATTAGCACAATTCAACCGCGCCGAGCTAAGAGCAAGTTTAAAAATACTTACAGTGGCTGCTCCTTGGAGAGCTGAGCAGAAAGAGGCCTTATGAGGCATGGTAGAGACCCTCCGAATATCGGATTCAAGAAGAATGGATGAAATGACCCCAGTAACCAACTCAGCGTTGTCGAAGAAGGAGTCTTCATCAGTCTCCTAGTCCTCCCTTTTTTTGACTTTAGAACTCCGGAGGGGTAATTGGGATGGTTGCTCAGGTGGTCTAGAGGGTGCAAAGTCTGGCTTAATTCCAGTAATCGGCCCCAAGGCTCCCTCAACCTCAGAAGAGGTGGGGGAAGCCAGCCCTGGCTCAGAAGCCTTTTTGGAGGCAAACTGGGCCCCTTGAAGAGGAGAAGGGACCAGGGATTGAGATAAGGGAGTTTGTCCTCCTTTGCTCAAGGCAGGAGAAGAGGGCACTTCCAGTTTCTGCACTTTAGTCCTGTCAACGAGGTTGCCTCCAGAGCTGGTCTCAGCCTTCCGTTTGCCACTTTTTCTACTCTTCTTCAGTAGGCCAACCTTAGCCTGGAGTTCTTCGAGGGTAGATTTCATTATGGAGGAGCGTAGAAGATCTGAACCAAGCAAGTTAAACAGGAGAGAGGAAAAAGAAGGGAAGACAAGGGAACTAACTTAGTAAGTGTTACCTTCTATATCTTTAGGTCTAACAACTGAGATAGGGAACGGAGCTTCTATCGACACCTTAGAAGGACTAAATCCCTACGTCACTAAGACCCAAGGCTGGATGAGCTTGGAGTACTTCTCTAGACTACACTTCTCCAACTTTCGCTTCACCCTCTCGTCCTCAGCACTGAGCTCAGGTCAAATGCCTGAAAAACAACACAAAGAGAGCAGAGGTCAAAAAGGCAACTCGATAATTTCTAAATCAGAGCTCAATCAGTTCGAATAAGGACTCACCTAAGTTATCAGGGGCGAACCAAATTCTAGGGATACCTAGAGTATCAGTCCTGTTGACAGGGTTGTATTCCCAGTTGGGGCCCCCAATGAAAATGAATTATTTTTTCCAACCCTTATGGGAGCTCGGGAGGTGAGTAATGATCTGTCTAGCCGTGGTTCGCTTAGAGATATATAAGAAACCCTCTGATGAGATGAGTTTGACATTAAAAAGATCCACAAGCAAGGAAAGGCTGGGGACCTCGAGCTCATGTTTCTTAAATAAAACTAGAAGACCCACCAGTACACCCCAGAAATTAGGGAAAAACTGGGTAGGGCAAACATTGAAGTGTTGCAAAACACTCTTGATGGGGGGACGCATAGGGAAACGAAGGTCATTCTCAAAAGCGGCCATAAAGAAACAGACTTTCTTATGAACTTGAGCAACATATGAGGTGTATTTATTTGGACACTAGGAGGAAAACCATAACGAGTACTAAGAATTTTCATAAGAGAAGAGTCAACCTCACTGGGTCCTACGAGCTTAGCATGCCTAAAGGCAACCTTTGTGCCCACTGCGCTATCAGAGACTCCTACCCCAAGAGAGAAGTAGAGGAGCGAGTAGCTCTGGAAGGAGTAGACATGACTGGACAAGAGAAAGGTAAATTAAAAAAATGGTAGAGAGGAGGAATACTAATTAAGCACTCCCTGATAACCCCAGGGTCAACTCAGTAGCTTCCAACAGCAAGGAGTCCCACGATAGAAGATCAGTCCACGTAGTGGGGAAGAGGAGACAAGCAGTAGTTTCGATTCCAAAAGTAAAAGAACTAAAAAGCCCAGAAATGCAATAGTCACCTAGAATTCGAGGGATCCAGAACGAGAAAAGGTGAAAAAGGGACAAAAGGGCGTACCTAGTTAGGAAAGAGCAACGAACAGCAGCCTAGAGTGAAATGGAAGAAAGGGGGCAATGCAAATCTTCAAATCGAACCCACAAAACTCGATCTTGAACGAGGAATCAGAAAACTCCAAACCAGAAAGCCAGAAAATCACAAGAAGAGAGAAGTAGCAGAGAAGTTGAACAGTGGAAAATGGCGATTCAGATAGCCGTTTGAGCATTTAAAGCTTGAAAGACGTGGGCAGGAACATGCACGAAAAATGAGAAAACCATGATTGCTGAAACTTGTTAAAAAGGTCTCACTCACGTGCAAGCCAAGGCCAGCCACGTGTAGATCTAGCTTGGTTTAAGAAAAATAGCTTAACCCTTACCCAAGCCTACTTGAACCAGGGGCTGAGGGCAACTGATGATACCTCAAACAAGCCCTAGTTATGAGCTTAGGAAATGAGGTCAGGTCATGAGGTCAAGAAAGACTCGGAGAACTCAAAAAACCAGGGGTAGAGCACCCCCTTGGGGAGATCGTAAGAGAACCGACCTGAAAATAGTTGGATGACTGAGGAAATGAAGCTCAATGCATGAAAAGTTTTCAACCAACCAAGATTCTCTCCTAAAATCAAGAAGGATCGTATGAATAATTGGTAAAGATCTCGGCTTAAATCCCACAAAATAGAGAGCAACCTTATAAATACTATGTATCGCCTCATCGAAGAGGAGGACTCGAGAAAAACCCTAATTAGATTATGCATTATAGAATAATGCATTCGAGTAATCAATAGAGAAAAGAGGAGCAAGAGCCTCCATTAGAGAGTGGATTAGCCAAGCTCCAGAGCCGGTGAACCACTATATTCCTATTGTGCAAATTTCTTTACCCTCTAAGAAATACTTCATCTCTGTCATTATGAAGTTGGCAACCTAGATTCACCTTTAGTCCCATGCACTCTGTTCACCCACGTTAGTTTGCACCATCAATACTAATATATATATTCTCGGTGGTATTTATAACAAAGTTATTATACAACACTTTAAAATAATAAAAAATCATTGAGGTCTATTAAAAATGACTATAATTAACCTTATTTTTTAGTAAAATATTAAAATTAATTTTTTTATATTTTTTGTTTTGTTTGTATGCATTTTTGACCTTATTATATTGAATTATTTTATTTTGTGTAAAAAAATTCATTAAAAATAAATAAATCATTCTACTTATTAAAAAAATAAAAAATATAAACTATATAAAATGTCACCCTAAGGAATTTAAGGCATTTTAGTCTATTAACATAATGGAGGATAATTTTTGAATTTTTAAAGAATAAGTAGTCAAATTGTGCACTTTATTTAGTGTCAGAGATAGAAGTTACTATTCAGAGATGTCTATGATTCGACAATATAAACCAAAAAATGACACAATAAAATTTCAAAATCAGAGAGATATCTCATTGAATTTAAACCTACCTACACGTGTGAATGAAATTTTTCTTACATTTTAAAAGTGATCCACTCCTTCAGTCACATGGATTATAGAACTACTAGTAACAAACCACGGGCGTGGAGCTTTATGTGCATAAACTTACAATTGAGAAAGTAAAATGATACGGGGCACAACCAGAGAGTTTGTGGCCTCTTCCAAGGCACTCTGTCATGGTTCATTCCAAGAGCAATAAAGGATAGAACACAAAGTAGAGCGTCCCGACCCAAGGACCTTAAAGATCAAGGTCAGTTCGGTCCCATTTTATAGGTGACATCCACATAAATGTGTTATATCAGTGTAATTGTGTATGCTCCTAACAGGTAAAACATATGTGCATATACTGGTGTAAGGGGTGAACTCAGGGGTAAACCACCTCCCCACGAAAGGATTTTGGCTGACCTGAGTTAAGTCCCCCAGTAATCTTTAACCTCTTGTCCCACATCAAGAGAGAGTCGTTTTTCCCCCTGCCATATAAATCTAGACCTGATCAGGTGGCTAGTAGGTCAGGTCCAGACTTATATGAAAAGAGGGAAGACGAATCTCTCCCGATGTAAGACGAGAGGTTAAAGGCTACTGGGGTACTCAACCCAGGTCAGCCAAAATCCTTCCATGGCGAGATGGTTCACCCCTAAGCGATGTTCACCCTTTACAAAAAATCAGGTGGCTAATGAGTACCTCCACCATAGCAAGTCCAAATGACTCTCTCTCGATGTGGGACGAGAGGTTAAAGGTTACCGGGATCTCCCGATGTGGGATGAGAGGTTACAGGTTACTGGAAAACTCAGTGGGACGAGAGGGTCAGCCAAAATCTTTCCGTGGAAAGGTGGTTCACCTCTGAGAAATTGCCTATCCATACAATGGCTACAAAGTCCAGAACAAACTTCACCATAAAATTCATACAGAAAGTGGGGAATGCGTGGTTAAAAGAATATAAAGGAAAAAAATGGGGCACATCTAAAACAAGAAAAAAACATATGAAGAATTTCATGAAGAGGAAAAATAATGTACACTGCAGATGAAAAACGAGCTGGATAATGACCCATGATTAGAGGTAAGTGTGTATGCTATAAATGTTGTGTGTCCCCCTGTCAGTGATGTCCCAGTTTGAGGACCGAAAAGATTCCACCAGATGATTTTTCCTTGCGCTGATCCTCTCCATCTCCAGCCTGTTCCACAAACTCCTGGTGTCATCTCGATTTCACACAATTTGTAGAACAGAGCAAAATTTTCCAAATGTGAAATGAAGAAGTAAATGGTGCGAGGTAACCAATCTATTTCTAAAAATCCTAAATACAATCTTCAGNACGTGAAATGAAGAAGTAGTAAATGGTGCGAGGTAACCAATCTATTTCTAAAAATCCTAAATACAATCTTCAGGAATACGTGAAATCTTTGGTGTGCATCACTCTATATTAAGGATAATATAAAATCATGCAAAGGCTGTTAAACGAGACAACACCTCCTTGGTTATTTGCTGCAGGATTTCTGTTATCTCCGAAAAGTCAGGTCTTAAAGTTGGGTCATGCTGCCAGCATCTCTCAAGCAGCTCGGCCAGCTTCGGATGAATTTGCTTTGGGATAGTGGGCCGCAAACCCTGAAAACCAAATCGACGAAAGCACCTAACATGTCATATTTCCTCTGTAAAGTTGTATACATTAAGTGTGATGGCTAGTCTCAATTTTTTATGGATGTCTTGGAAGAAGGGTCCTNCAACATGTCATATTTTCTCTGTGAAGTTGTATACATTAAGTGTGATGGCTAGTCTCAATTTTTTATGGATGTCTTGGAANCTAACATGTCATATTTCCTCTGTAAAGTTGTATACATTAAGTGTGATGGCTAGTCTCAATTTTTTATGGATGTCTTGGAAGAAGGGTCCTAATTCCTGACTCACACAGGCTAAAAGTTAAGTGGCTATAAACAGAATACAGAAGAATACAGTTAAGAGTAGATGCTTTACCTTTTGGACAACTCCAACAGCTGCTTGTAACGGGGTCAAATACTCGTATGGAAGCTGACATGCCAAAGAGACAATACATTATGAACAAAACACAATATCTGGCCGAACTACAAGATCAAATTGCTCTTGCCGTGGCACATAATACCTTTCCGGTGAGTAACTCCCACAACACAATCCCAAAACTAAAAACATCAGCCTTGTGATCATAGGGCTTGTGTTCTATAACCTTCAATGTAACAAGAATTACCATGAGTATATTGCAAGAAGGTCAACCTCCAATAGATAGTCGAAAAATGAAATTCACATCAATAGGCCATGAATATCATTCATCAATTTATGTAAGAAAGTGCATAAAAGAAAAAGGCAAAAAAAAAGTACGCAGCTGAACTTTTCAGCTGCGGCTTTGAACCCATGGCCAGCATGCCTTCATACAGTTTCAGGTGCCATTCTTCGTCAGTATTTCCCCAACTGAAATGCAAACATCACTGGCCTGTAGTGTCTTTTAACCCACTTCAAGAGAGACGGGAGGGGAGCCTGACAGACTGGAAAAAAATTGAATCATTCTAAACAAGAGTGGTGTGCACCCACTTCACTTCCAGAGGGATTTTCCTGTGTGCGCATTTTATTTTTTTGGGTTGGGGGGGGGGAACTGAATCAGTAAATTGTTTGGCATTTTCAACATTGTACCAAGACGTCCAAAATAATTGTTTGGCATTTTCAACATATTTTCATCGCCTACTAAGCATTGATAACTGCAATTGTATACCACTATGTCATTCTTGATGAGATCATTTTTTATTCCCCCAAAACCTCATTCCCTTTGTTTTCCTTCTCATTATCTGGGTCTGCGTTAGTGACCCCATCAGGAGCTCAGTCTCAGATCATGAGAAAAGGGGCCAAGGCAACACAAACGATTACAATAACCAAAGATGTTGGTATTATCATGCAGGTGACTACAACTAAAGAATAAGCATCACATGCAAAATTTGAAATCTGCATCAGGATACAACTAAAGAAAGATGACAGTATGTCAAAAACATCAAACAAAGTTGAATAATAAAAGCTCAACATTTTTTGTAAGAAGGTGCACCTCAGGAGCCATCCATCGATATGTCCCAGTTTCTGCCGTCATAACTCCCGTCTGAGCTTTCACTCTGGCAACTCCAAAATCAGCCACTTTAACCACCTAAAGTGCACAACATGATTAAAATCTTCTAGACATGCTGAAGTTACATCTCAACATCTTCACCAAACTCGAGCCACAGGCCTCAATGACATGAGCTCACTCAAACTTGAAATAGACGCTTTGAAAATATACAACATATATGGATTACAAAAATCATCAAATTCAATGTTAAGGAAAGAGAAGTTTTCTGAACGTACTTATACCTAGTGCACATGCATATACTTCAATTTCTTGAGCCAAAAAAAGGCAAGATTCAGCTAGATGATTTTGAAGTGAGATACATGGACCGAGGGAGCCAAAGATTATGCATTGATACATGGCATGCATTTTGTTAGGCAATTCCTCTCCTGTTTCCGTATGGAATCTTTTAATGTTCATAATTTCAGGGACAAACACGATACAACAAATAAATTGTAATAGCATTATATTTGAGCAATATCAATAATTATTCGTAAACTTCAAGAAGAAAGGGAGATAAGAGATTAAGAACCATGCAAATATCCCAAACTGATACATATTTGTCCTCTAACTAACATTAAAAATCCATAATTACTGGGAGGTCTTTTTTTTTCTTGGGGATGGGGGAGCATTCATATATATTCATGTTCTTTTGGGTTAAAAGTCTCAAATTTTTGATACTGTTTCATTAATGTATAGTAAACTCTTCCATATAGAAATTGAGGCAAATGAAATATAAGCTATGACAAATTCATAATCCAACACATAAATGCAGGACCACAAGGATAAGATATTCTCGTCATTATAGTAACAGAAAGAAAGAAAATCTTACTTCATTTTCATCCATTAGAAGATTTGCAGCCTTCAAGTCCCTGTGTATTATATTATTCTGGTGCAAGTAGTTCATTCCCTTTGATATATCGATTGCTACTTTTAGTAAAGATGGAAGCCTAAAAGTACCCTTTTGCTTGTGTAGATAGTCATACACACTTCCACCAGACATATATTCTGAAATAAAAAAATAAAAAAAAAGACAATATACAAGTTGGAATCAAGCTAACCATAACAAAAATGTATCCATAAGAAACAATATAAAATCCTAAAGCAACAACTCTTCATGCGTGCATCACCACAGTAATCAGTAAGATAATGGAAATTTACCTGTTACAATACACAAACTTGGAGGTTTGGTACAAGCACCTATAAATTGTACAACATTCTTGTGTCGAACTTTCCTGCAAGTGCCAAAAAGAAGTCACTACAGGCCCAAAATTGAGGCCTCAAATAACTACTCAGAGAGGAAACCAATGGAACTGGGCCCGTACTATTTTTTCCCCTGGAGGATTTTTAAGAACATCCAATTTGCATGAGAGAGAGAGAAAGAGAGAGAGAGAGAATTAAACTCCAGCCAAGAAGTACAAGGAACAAGATCCCGGTNACAGAGGAAACCAATGGAACCGGGCCCGTACTATTTTTTCCCCTGGAGGATTTTTAAGAACATCCAATTTGCATGAGAGAGAGAGAGAGAGAGAGAGAGAGAGAGAGAGAGAGAGAGAGAGAGAGAGAGAGAGAGAATTAAACTCCAGCCAAGAAGTACAAGGAACAAGATCCCGGTATACCTTCCCTAGGAAGGTGGTAGAAGTGGACCCATATTTGATGTATCTGTCTTTGAAGGGTGGCGTTAACGCATGCAGCATGCAAGTGAAAATAGAGGAGCAAGATCTAGCTACAAAAAGAGAGAAGCTCCAACCTAATCCTTTCTTTTCTTGCCTTGTGAGCACACAAAGAACCATAGACTAATACCAAAACAAACACGCGCTCGCAAACAGGGAGGGGGAGAGAGAGAGGGAGAGGGCTTAAGTAGATATAGTGCTTTATTTTTATTGGGGGTGTCGACACAAAATAGACATGAAATAAGAATTAGGAATGAAAATTAGAAGCAACTCTCTCCCTCTGTGGTTTCATGAAAAGCAAATTTACTGCAAACATCCGGGTACTGCCAATATTACCCATTTTTGTTCTCATGACTCAACGGTCCGAGGAGAAGTAACTGGTTATAGACCTAACCTTTGCGCATTTAACCTCACGATTGTAGGCCCTCCCTTTTACACCACATCAACCTCTCATTTTGCATTGGTACAGACACAAAACGTACAAATGAAAAACTAAAAAGTAAAATGCATTGATTAACACGATGAAAAAACAACATTCGGACAGCAGATGTGGGTTGAATAGAAGGCTAACTAGTGCAGCTAGTGCAGCTCAAGGCAACAGCAATAGAATTCCACAAACCTCATAATATACACTTCTTGTGCAAACTCTCTATGCATGTCTGAACTAACACAATCAGACTTCAGGAATTTGATGGCTACTTCCTGCATACGGTATGTACCCTTGTATCTGAAACAAACAAAAGACACAGTTAACTGAACACCAATAATGGACCAACATCTGTCTGCTTGAGTGGTATCTAATGACATCAATGAAACAAGGTTTTAAGTATTGATTGGGACATGGATGCACATGTACTGATTAACGTTCAAAACATAGTAATAAAATGTGCATAGAATATTATAAACTTACAAGTCACCATATGACCCAGATGCAATTTTGCTCTCAAGTACCAGATATTGAGGATCGATTTCCCAGACATCGGTGCCATCACTAGGGATTGTCATATGTTCAGATTCACTTTTGATCCCCGAATGATCAGGAGATAATGAACATTGATTCGGCCAAGCCTGCTTCTGCATAGCAACTCAAAATGTCCTAGTCACAAATCAATGCACCATAGCAAATTAGCATAAAGAAAGAACACTCAACATGCATCAACGGACAACCTGATAAAAAACCCCCGCAGGGGCAGCCAAAAGAAGGTAACGGACAACATACGTAAAGGAACATGACATACTGAATATACTGAGTATAACAAGTCAGAGACTGTAATGCAATAACATTGTATCCATTCTGTATTCGGATTCTCCATAATTTTTTAGTATTTTCTTCACTTCAGCTATAGTAGTAACACCTTAAATTTCAGAAGGTGTTTATGCTAGCAAATAGGAAGTTCATAAGACCACAATTGGAGAAATTTGCTTTGTTCAATAAGTACGATTAAAATGATCAGGCAGAACAAAGCTCATTTGTTGATTGTGCTCAGTTATTTTCCATGTTTACTCCATTTTAACCCTAGTATAAAGCATGAGGGTGAGAAAAGCATAGAGATTATATGCCACAGTTGTACAATCAAAAAAGATTATATGCCACAATTGCAAAATATTCCAAGAGAATACAACACAGATGATTCAGTTGAAACACACTCTAAGAGATAGCACATAACTGAAGCTGTTTTCAACTTTATCTCACCAAGTGATCTCTTTTTCCACCTATGAGTAGGGTTTGAATAACTGATTTTTGGCAAGTGATTTCCAATCTATTGAATCTAAGTTTGAAAGAATTCCCTCCAAAATTCCGAATGAAGCTTCATTAACTCCGGCCCCAAAAGCACAACGAATTATGGATTTCACATTGGATGAAATTCACAACAAATGAGTATATAGAGAAATTTAAGAGTAAATCTCAATTGGATACTCTGTGTTTGGAAGAAAAACAAGGCAATCCCTCAAACTTGTAAGATGACATGGTGTGATCCCAATCGAAGTATTTAATTAAGAGATAATTTATATACCCTTGGTCAAACTTAGTGATTACCGAAGTTTCAATATTGTTGTTCATGGTCTAAACCGACTAAAACAGATTCCTCCCTTCAGTTTCTTCCCCAGCCAGAGACCTGCTCTAGAAGCCAGCTTTGCAACCCCTCCCCCCGAGAACCCCACCAACTCCAACTATGAAGCACAAATACTTCACTCAACGTACCCGTATATAATACCGTATCACATACGCTACTTGTCAATCCTCGATGATACACATCGGATACACATCATTCATATCTAATAATTCATAAAATATGTGGATACTTGCAGATACTTCTACACATTAAGCCAAATGTATAATTTTTAATTTTAATCCATATCATTTCTTTTTGAGTTTACATATAATACAAATTATCAACAAAATTCGATTTGACTTCAAAAACACGATGTTTTTAAAAAATTATCTACTATTACATGTCGAAAAAGAGTATAAACAAATGAATTAGTTACACTATAACCTTAGAAACAAATACTTGTAAGCAAACCAACTAGTTAAATTTTAATTCTAATTCTCTTGCATGCTCACGTTTACTGTATGAATATATCATAATAAGATAATATTATAAATTTTTCAAGGTAAAAAATTCTAATTTTATTTACTAATGTTAAAGAATTATTAAAAATTATAATTTTTAAATTGTTAAATAATAGTAAAATATAAAATATATTTATTATAGAAGTATCCCGATTGTATCTGTATCTTATTTTTTAAGTTTTGTCGTATCGTCATATCCGTACCGTTCATGTATCTCATATCCATATATGTGCTTCCTAAACTATGTCACATTGTACATGTGCATGATATAGAGAGAGAACAAAGGTGATGTTTGGTTAGGTGTTTAATTTTACCGCAACAACAAATAANAAGTATCCCGATTGTATCTGTATCGTATCGTCATATCCGTATCGTTCATGTATCTCATATCCATATATGTGCTTCCTAAACTATGTCACATTGTACATGTGCATGATATAGGGAGAGAACAAAGGTGATGTTTGGTTAGGTGTTTAATTTTACCGCAACAACAAATAACTTTAAAATGATATTATTTTGTTCCAACTAGGAATATGGGGGTACTTTTGACATTTTAAATGATATTTTTGCCAATGCTATATTCACCGATGACTGTGGGGCTCAATCTATTTCTTATATCAAAAGTAAGAGGTGGTTATGTCATTTGCCAAATGTTTAGGNTACCAATGCTATATTCACCAATGACTGTGGGGCTCCATCTATTTCTTATATCAAAAGTAAGAGGTGGTTATGTCATTTGCCAAATGTTTAGGGGTAGCCATGTTTTATGAAAGAATTAATCAAGTTAACCTGAAATTTGTCCAAAAAATTTGAAGTTCAACTTACGACATACTATAGGTTAGGAGTGTCCACCCTACATTATGGGTAGGAGTTATAGTATTTCATCTTCCTACCCGATATTTTGCGAAAGAATTTTTTCTTAACCTACCCTACTCGATCAAGTGTACTATTCCTATCTGAATTCCGTCCAAAACAATCAGGTAAGAAGTCAGATGAACACATATTTTTTAGTTATTAATTTTTAAATCATTTTAGCAATTTATTAAGTAACTTGCACCAATTAACTAACACAATAAACTAATAACACTAAAGAAAACACAATAAATTCGATAATAGATAAACAATTATAATAAAACATAACAAGAAAGCTATAAACATCAATATATCATATAAGAAAGTCATAAACATCAATAAATATTAGGGTTTCTTGATTTTTAGATTTTAATTTTTAGGATATATGTATTGCGGGTAAGGTATGATAGGAATACAAAAATTTTGTAGGTATTCTGCATTCCTACCTGATTTTTTATGGAATACGAACAGTAAGGTCAGGTAGGGTAGGGTAAAATCGAAATTTACGGGCAATAAGAAACTTGAACACCCCTACTATAGGTTGTTTCAAAGCAATTTTTGTACTTGTAACTACATATAAGTTATAGGGGTCAAAGTCCACAATAAAGACAAAACATACAGGGATCATCCAAGCTAAAGTCCTCTATTGTAAAATATCACCTAGCTACCAGTGAAATAATATAAAATTCTATCCAAGGAATTCAATTTGGTCGAAACGTCTAAAATGTTTTTGTTTCCATAGAAACCAAAATGAATTATTGATTGAATATCAAAGTTCTTATATTTTAATGTGTTTCGACATATGTTTCGAAATATTTTGGATGTTTCGACCAATGTTTCATAAATAATTTTTTTTAATTTTTTCCTTGTTTACATCTTATTTCTGAAATATTTTCAAAACATTACCGAAACAAAATTTTGATCCTTGATTCTATCTAACCACTACGACCCTTGATTAACCATTAGGCAGCTCTAGGGTGCTAGGAATGTAACTTCACGAATTACGAACAAAACGATATAATGATAAAATGAACAACAAAACTCTTGAAGCTAGGCTATAGTCAATTTCAAAATGGGAAATGAGATGATTTTCAAATTTTCCATAATGCAACATGTGTTTCAACATTCCAAAGAACTATCAATTTAATGAAGCATGGAATAGAGGTACCTCAATCTCCAAAACTTCCTTTTCCAATGCAATTCGAAGCCTCGCAGTTTCCTGAGAATTAATGGAACTTTCTTGTGAGTAAAAAAAAATACAAAGGACATAACATATAAATATGTACATCTTCAACCCTGGCCATTAAAAATTCAAATGTATCTTTTCCTATTATGCTGTTAGAATATGAAAAATATTCCACTAGAAAAGAGAATTAAATTTTGTTAGAGTTTCCAAAATGATATTGAACAACAAAGAACATCAAAAAATCAAATATATGACTTCTTTCCACGCCTACAAAAATTGACTGATGAAATCTACAAGTCATTTTCGGGAAATCTTAATGATGCAATCATTAAAAAGAAAGCAGATATATAATGAACTACACGACAAACAGCCTAGTCTTAAATAACATTCTAGCTACATAATAAAAAAACATTACCGTAAGGAGATACCTCATATGGCCACCCATCAACAACAAAAACGTCTAAGGAATAGCCATCAACTGTTGAAAAAGCATGTGCTTCCTGGATGTTCAGCCCAATCTCAGAAATTAAGGAAGTCAACTGCAAATATTCCATATTAAAAAGAAAATTTCATTAGATGCTAAATTTTGCAATTTGAGTCGTATAGAGATNTGGAAAAAGCATGTGCTTCCTGGATGTTCAGCCCAATCTCAGAAATTAAGGAAGTCAACTGCAAATATTCCACATTAAAAAGAAAATTTCATTAGATGCTAAATTTTGCAATTTGAGTCGTATAGAGATCACTAGGAGGCAAACTTGTGGACGCATAGCAACCTTACCTCCCCCATTCACGGGGAAAAAATATCACACACAAGGAGGCAGGCAGGCTTATTTAGATTATTATTTCCAAGTGCTGAGATAAGTTTTTCCAATCAACCGACTGCAGTTATGGATTTGGATGTTTTCCAATCAAACCAAACTGGTGGCTCACTATTTAACCAACTCACCATGATATGTTCTTAGTCACACAAATTGTTTCCTAGATATAGCCTTTGGCTTTCCCTTGTAACACCAATGGAGAATGGAGACCATAAAAGAGACAAATATATACATATAAAGGTTCCAAGTTGACATATTTCCACTTTGTTCACAAATGGGAAACAATTGGCAAACAAACAGTCACTGGTTACAAACATGCCCCATTTCACCCCATTTCAGAGAGTTTACGCTTCATTACACAATACCCCACACAACACTTAGAGCAGGGTTTCCAAATCGTGGTTGAACCATAAAAATCAATAACCCCTAATATTTCCAAACATAGAGCCAGATAATTAGCTAGCAAGTCATCAACTTGAAAAAGGCCGAATTATCAACATAGTCATAGGGATTTTCGAAGAGGACATAAGGCCTAAATATGCACCAATTAAAAGTAGATTACCTCAGTGACATGCCTAGTTGACTAAAAATAGTGTAACTATGGAGCTTACATCATCTAACTATATACCTCAAAGAATATAAAATGATTTTCTATGAATGCAAAGAATAATGACCTAAAAAGATATCAACATGTCCTGCGATGAATGAAAAGCAGAAGGCATCTTCCTACCTTAGATCAAACATCAAGACACAAGCATCATTGAGACAAGCAGGATAGAAATTACATGCCTTCTTGAATGAAAAGCAGAAGGCATCTTCTTACCTCTAGATCAAATATCAAGATACAAGCATCATTGAGACAAGCAGGATATAAATCACATGCCTTCTTGATTGTAAATTTCAAACTGATCTTGTGATGCATTCATAAACAAAGAAATCACATACGAAATTGGTAGTTGTAGAAACGACATAGCCCAAATACATATTCTACCCATCTGAAAGAAAACAATGCTGAATAATTAAATTTTGATACAAGTGGCATAACATATTTAACTACCTGGCTGAGGACCTTTGGCTTGTCCTCTGTTGAAAAGGTGATTTCATGCATGGGCCTACATAACCATCGATTACATGAAGCGGCAAGCTGTTAATGACATACTCGTGAGAGTATTGTTGTAATACTTTCTCCAGATAATATAATCCATGTAGACTGGCCAGCGCTTTGTTAAAAAAGTAGACAAACAACATATAACACGATATGAACTGAAAATAGCACATCATTACTAATGCGATCGTATGTTCAGTGGCTTCCTTTTTCATTGATTTCTTCAAATCGATAATGATTCAATGGCTTCCTTTAAAAGAATTATCTCATTTTGTGTGTGTGTGTGTGTGTGTGTGTGTGTGAGAGAGAGAGAGAGAGGGGAGGGGGAAGAAGTATGCATTTAGGGATTTCGACCAGAAGAGATTTTTCATTTTCATTCAATTTGTCGAAGAGCTTACCATTAGGAGCCCTGATCTCCTACAGGCATACACCTATCGGTGCATTATAAATGTAAGAACAAAAACATCTATTACCTTTCAAAACAAAAGGTGAATGAGCAACATTAGGATCTACACTGAACCAACGCACAAGATATAACAACGCTTGAGCATCTAACAATTGATTGAGGTCTTGGGGCATCATAATCACTATTATAGGGATAGAAAATACAAAATAAAATGACAGCAGGCAGCTGCACTCTTCCTTTTCAATCCTTGAAAAAGTGGAGTAAGAACATCATTCAATGATTCTAAAGAGATTCAACTTCACATGTCCTTTGAGATCTGTGNCGAAGAGCTTACCATTAGGAGCCCTGATCTCCTACAGGCATACACCTATCGGTGCATTATAAATATAAGAACAAAAACATCTATTACCTTTCAAAACAAAAGGTGAATGAGCAACATTAGGATCTACACCGAACCAACGCACAAGATATAACAACGCTTAAGCATCTAACAATTGATTGAGGTCTTGGGGCATCATAATCACTATTATAGGGATAGAAAATACAAAGTAAAATGACAGCAGGCAGCTGCACTCTTCCTTTTCAATCCTTGAAAAAGTGGAGTAAAAACATCATTCAATGATTCTAAAGAGATTCAACTTCACATGTCCTTTGAGATCTGTGGAAGCACCAGAGGACTCTTCATGATAAGGCAATTTGTGCACTAAAAGTCTAAAACATCATGAGTTATAAAAGATAAAGTATACCTGGAAGAATTTACACAGGCATTTAAAACATGGTCCCCATCTTGATCTTGAGGTTTGTTTACTTCAAGTGCAAGGGCTTTGAGATTAGGAGATGAACCAAAGGCAGGTGGTGGACGAATGCTGACATATGGGAAGAAAGAGTTACTGATTTCAGTAATCATCTAAAATATAAAAAATCAAAGGGGTAACTGAACAACAAATGAAAAGGACAATTGCATAAATAAATAGCATTCAGGACAACTTGCATGTGTTATGGGATCTAAATTCTCTAAACTGAGAAATCCTTTAAGCTAATCACTTAATAAGTAATACCTTAGAGCACCTTCGCTCCTTGGCAAGCTTGAATGAATGAACTCAGCCAAGTTCCCATCAGAGATAGGAGGAACCTGCAAAAGAAGTGATTGCTAAACCTAAATTGACCAAGCAACAAAGTTTAGACATTTGAAAACCCCTGCAGCCAACACCAAGAAAACATAAATGAAACTAAAACAAAGAGAAATAACAATAATAAGAACAAGAAGAAAGAGAAAAACAAAGAAAAGAATTCCTTTGAGTAGAATAATAATAAATTGTGGGAGGAAACCATGAGATCCTATTAAAAAATAATCGAGCATATGCAAAGGAGTATATTATCAAATTTGTGTATTGGAAGCCATTGCCAATGTAAATACAAGGGTCCATCAAGATATCCCAAAGATAAAGAATCCTTTCTTTTACAATGCTAAAGTGGAATTCTTATCAAATCAACTTACCTGGACTAGGCGGACTTCAAATGCAGGTCTATTTGCAGGATCATGTGCCAAATGCAATAACCGTTTGTGTGTGAGAACATCTTCCGCCCTTTCCACATTCACATCCAATGCATACCTTCAATGTACAATATTAAATGCCTCAACACAATCAGTCAAAGGACAAGTTCATGCCTTATCAATCCAATTGATTAAGTTGCAGTACCACAACATTCTGTGTGGGAGGGAGTGAGAATGAGAGAGAGCAGAAATATCTGTGGTACAATCCAATTATAAATATCAAAGGTTTAGATATAAAAAAGAACAAAGAAATGCTATCAAATTATAATTATTAAAAGTGGAAATACAAACAACAACAAAGAACTAGTGATTTTAATCCATTTTAATTTGCTCAAATCTGCAAGGGACCAATGTTGAATACACTAAAGAACCTTGAGGGTCTGTTTGTTTAGAAGAAAAGAATGATGGAAAATAAATGAAAGGGAAAAGAAAATATATTTTCTAGTGTCCATTTGGTTAGGATGAAAATTTTGTCAGAACGTCATACAAAAATCCTTGGTACTACAAAATTGCCCCTTTCATTTCACTCTAACTCACCAACTATGAATACAAAATACAAAGAGTAGAATGATGCATAATGTATACCAATAACAAGTAACAACCATCTATATCTCTATGCATCAACTCCACCAATTACATTTCCACTAGCCCCTAACCACCATGTTTGACAAGCCCACATAATGTTGATCTTTCTACACATAATATGATTAGGTATTGGTTTGGATCAATTAAAATCAGATTTCAACACCATCTAAATAAAATCAAATTGTCTACAACCACCCAAATGCAATCACACCATCTTTGACGAAGGTGAAGCCAATTCACCCACAATAACTCACTGTAAACCATCGACCAGACCAACCATTATCCCAGAACTTTTAACCAACCAGGCATCTTTCTTTTATCCGAGAAACATCATCACACAAATCAATCTTTTCGAACACCCATCATGCTTCTGTCACAGATCGCTGCCAACCGACTGCTACTTCTAAATCACCAATAGAATCAAGCCTTGAANTTTAACCAACCAGGCATCTTTCTTTTATCCGAGAAACATCATCACACAAATCAATCTTTTCGAACACCCATCATGCTTCTGTCCCAGATCGCTGCCAACCGACTGCTACTTCTAAATCACCAATAGAATCAAGCCTTGAAAAAATTGTTAGACAGGATTATAAGAGCAGTGCAAAAATGGGTCTGAAATAGGTCTGAAATAGGGGTGCCATCAACGACATAGATCAGTGAACAGTGATAGAGAGGTAACGGTGAATTAGGACTATGGTTTATGAGTGCCGACCCTTTGAATTGAAGATTAGTATGTGAAAAGCATGATAAGACCCACGATACTGTGGGCAAATGGGAAGGCTCCCTTGGTTTCCCCACATATTTTGCAAGAAAATGAAAGCCACGTTTATGGGCATTATTGGGTTGAACTTATACGGGAATATTACTTTCTTCCAATTTCCAGTGTTTATTCGCTAAACAAACACCTAATCGGTAAAAGAAAAGATTCAAACAAGACCTTGATCAAACAAGAATGTACAAGTTACAAAAGCACTAAAGATTAAAGCAGACATGTACATATCTACATAAACATACCCACATCATCATACATGTATACACACAGGTCAGATACAAATATATATATTTATATATACAAACAGAGACATACATATATGCATTAACATAATACATCTTCGTGTATGTATAGTGCGAAATGGTACAAAGAGAAAGGTATATGCTAAAAGGCAAAAAGTAAAATTACCGATAGGGAAGCCGATTAAAGTGAGTCCAAAGTTCGTCGTTGAAGCCAGGCTCTTCAGCCTCCTGGTTATTCGAATCTTTAAGCCTACTAAGAACCTCATTGTAAACTTCAAGCTTCTTTCTCTGCTGCCGATTGCTCACCGGCATCGATTCCGCCGCTCTACTACTACAACTACTACTCTCGTCGTCTTCCATCACCATTCGTTCAAATACCAAGAAAAAACCAAGAACTGAAAAGGAAAGAAACTCTTCGAAGATCTGAACTCTGAAACTTCAAGACTCTGTGAAGTGGATTTTCGAGCAAGAGACAGGAGTAGTTTATCTGGAGATTGACGAATTTGACACAAACATGTGTGTATTGATAGCATGTCCGTCCCTNAGGAAAGAAACTCTTCGAAGATCTGAACTCTGAAACTTCAAGACTCTGTGAAGTGGATTTTCGAGCAAGAGATAGGAGTAGTTTATCTGGAGATTGACGAATTTGACACAAACATGTGTGTATTGATAGCATGTCCGTCCCTCTCTCTTTTTCTCTCTCTATAAACGTGTATTATATTTGTAGAGGCTATTCTGTTTTGCAGAATGTTTAACGGCTTAGTGCGCTCCCCGCGCCCGCAGATATTCTTTCAATCGAAATAGAAATAAAATTGGATTTTTTATTTTTCACCCTAAAAGATTTTAAAATTTTTATTTTATACCCTAAAAAATTAAATTTCTCATATTATAACCGAATTATTATAATGTAAGCATTATATTAACTTTCGTTATTTTTTTTTGTCAAGACTCAACACATTGACACCGACAACAAAATAACGAAAAGTTGGNCATATTATAACCGAATTATTATAATGTAAGCATTATATTAACTTTCGTTATTTTTTTTGTCAAGACTCAACACATTGACACCGACAACAAAATAACGAAAAGTTGGTAAAAAAAATTATATTATAAAACTTTTGATACATTGATGGTATAATATGAAAATTTTAATTTTTGGGAATACAAAATAAAAATTTTAAAGTCTTTTGACACGCAAAGTATAATTTTCCCAATAAAATTTATTAACTTAAAAGATACGTTATATCTTAAAATATTCTTAACTTTTTAATTTATATCTTAAAAAATAAATTTTTTATATTATACTTTTAATTAGATTAAAAAAAGTAACAATATAGTCCAAAATTAAATATTCCTCGTCTTTTTTGGAGACAAATGTTTGCCACATTTGTCATATTGTGTTTTATTTGTATACATCATTAGATGCATAATAATAATTTTAGTACATAGTTGATACTATCATAGATTGACAAGCTAAGTAATTTCATCTCAGCTCGTAATTAGTGATATAAAATAGTTTTTGTCCAATTGGCCTACTCAATAGTCATATTTTTAAACTTTACCCTTTTTTTTAAATGAAAATTTGACTCACATAAAAAAATTTATTTTATTATTCTTACTTTTTTGGTTTCACAATTAATAAAATTTATTTTATTTTACTTTATTTGTTTAAAAATGAATACCTAAAAAATATTTTTCGATACTAAAAAAAAAATCCAAATAAGTTTGNATTTTACTTTACTTTAAAAATGAATACCTAAAAATTATTTTTCGATACTAAAAAAAAAATCCAAATAAGTTTGTTTGCAATGTAAATAAAGNACTTTATTTGTTTAAAAATGAATACCTAAAAAATATTTTTCGATACTAAAAAAAAAATCCAAATAAGTTTGTTTGCAATGTAAATAAAGGGGGGTTGCAACCTACCAAGATTCCAGCAGTTGATGCAAAGGAGTTTCACAACCTACCAAGATCATGTGAAATGCAGAGGGACCTTTTGGGTGATGATCCTTTCCTAATCCTTGCTTATGAGGTGGAGAATGAGCAGTGGTAGCCAGTAGCGATAAGAAAATGACACATTTTGAATTATACATGCTAGTGTGAGTGTGAGTGTGAGTGGTAGTGGGAGGGAGGACCATCGACCCATCCCATGTGACCTTCCCATCCTTTACTAGTGTGTTGGCTACTTGGACAGTGCAATCCTTTAATAAACCACTCCATCTGTTTTTGTTTTCATGTCCATGTGATTCAGATAATTGTTGCCAAATTAAGACTAAACACGATTTTTGAATATATCAATACCCGTAATTCTATACAAGGACCTTAATGGAGGGATTTTAATATGATCATTTGTTTATGTCACTCCTTTTAAATTCTAATGCCTACTAATAGTTTGAAACTCTGCCTCTAAGAAGACAATTCACTCCCTTTTGTAGTGTATGTGACTGTTGTTCATTGTTTGTTATGCCATTTGGGAAAAGTAGATCAAAATGATGGTGCAATATAAGAAGCATGGATCTACATGTATTAGTTTAAAATCAAGGTCTCATGAATGCAATAATGGTATTAGGTAGAAACCACAACATAATCAAATGACAGTGCTAACCACTTGAAACCAACATTAAATTGAAGTTCAAACACAATACTTCTTTGAAATGTAAACCAATAGATGGAAGTCCTGATTCATTGTGATTATGGGGATAAAACCAAAATCGCAGAAAAGAGAATTTGCTTTACTTTTGAAGTATTAAAAAAAAAAATTGTTTAACTTGGTGTTTGTTAGAGTTAATACAAAAAAGGTGACATGGATGGCATGTGGAGGTATGGGGAGAGGCCACGCGGACCTTTGGAGGTCACCAAAAGTCGATGATGGAAAAAAGAAAAATGCTTGATAGATCGAATATGTAATACGTCGCAATAAGTAATGTATTTTAATAAATACTATAAATCACAGTGATAAATATAACAATTACATCACCAAATCAAGATTTTTAAGTATGTATAGCATCGGTCGAAAAAAATATTAAATATAATTGTGACATCAATCAATAATAAATTAATATGTAAGTAAATAAACTCTATTTAATTTAGTAATTACATAATCACCATGTCTAAAAAAATGTAGGTTATTTTGCCCACTTTATAAGTTTGTTGTTAAATGATGACATCATATGACAATGGTGATGTTGTGTCACATTTACACCTAATATTGAGTGTTTTTATTGGTAGAAATAAAATTTATTTTCGAAACATTTAAACGTTTATTGTTTTTATAGAAATTGAAACTGAATATCAAAATTTTTATATGTCAAAGTATTTCGACCTATGTTTTAAAAACAAATTTTCAATTTTTTTGTTTATTTTTATCTTGTTTTTAAAATATTATCGAAACGTTTATATTTCTAAAATCACCGAAATTATATACCAAAACGAATTTTTGATCGAAAGATTTGAACAACTACATCGGCCATTATTAAAAAAAAAAGACTACATCAATCCAAAATTTATTATATTTTATATCATATGATCAATATAACCCCCAAACTTAAAACTATTACAAACAATGTGTCATTGTATTTAGAATCTAGCGCTGGAGTACACAGTATTTCTGGAGGAGCATTGGGTTCAACATTGCCCGCGCAGGAGGCGACTGCTCGCCGATTAAATGGCCGCTAATAGGTAGTGCATGCTAATAAATATTGGGAGTTATAATAAAATCAATTGTTAAGATTATCAAGTTTACTTTTTAAGTTCATGTAACATTACTCCGCTAACATATTCGACTTTAGAGTTTAGACTAAAATATGCAGAAAATAAGATCAATAACATTAAGAAGACAGAAGGATATGCTAGTTTTTAGAGCTTAGTTGGTGAGTCGAACAAGAAGCAAAGAGTAACATGCCACCCAACTCACAAAGTTAAGTTTATGTGGGGTCCAACTAAACTAAAGTTCATATAACGATGCTGACAACCTACCCTACCTAGGTGTTTGCGTTCAAAATAAAGACAAAGAGACTCAATCTCATCCCACATATATATTTTGGTAATTTTACTCCATGAACTATGGTCTATAAATTTTAAATAGACCTGTAGACGTTTTGATTACAAATAGTGAATCTTTTTTAAATTCATGATGGGTTGTTAAGGGATTATTCACATGGAGTAGTGCTTTTCCAATGTTTTCTGATTTTTAACATTGGATAATATGATTATTGATCACACGGAGGAGGTTGGCCGATTATATGACGTCTTATAGGCATATTCTGTAAGTCTATTAACACTAGCTCAATGGAAGGGTTGTAGTTGTGACCGTGGGCTAACCGATCTGGCGTGTTACGTGTCAATGGGGGGTGAATTATACCCTCTCATCATGCAAAGAAAATCAAAAATAAAAATAAAATGAAAAAAAAGCAAAGAGAATCAGTATTTGGGTAATTTGTGCAAACGTTGAAGATTTTAGGGGATATCAGCATCAACACCCTCTCAAATATAACTTTTACCCNATTCCAGCAGTTGATGCAAAGGAGTTTCACAACCTACCAAGATCATGTGAAATGCAGAGGGACCTTTTGGGTGATGATCCTTTCCTAATCCTTGCTTATGAGGTGGAGAATGAGCAGTGGTAGCCAGTAGCGATAAGAAAATGACACATTTTGAATTATACATGCTAGTGTGAGTGTGAGTGTGAGTGGTAGTGGGAGGGAGGACCATCGACCCATCCCATGTGACCTTCCCATCCTTTACTAGTGTGTTGGCTACTTGGACAGTGCAATCCTTTAATAAACCACTCCATCTGTTTTTGTTTTCATGTCCATGTGATTCAGATAATTGTTGCCAAATTAAGACTAAACACGATTTTTGAATATATCAATACCCGTAATTCTATACAAGGACCTTAATGGAGGGATTTTAATATGATCATTTGTTTATGTCACTCCTTTTAAATTCTAATGCCTACTAATAGTTTGAAACTCTGCCTCTAAGAAGACAATTCACTCCCTTTTGTAGTGTATGTGACTGTTGTTCATTGTTTGTTATGCCATTTGGGAAAAGTAGATCAAAATGATGGTGCAATATAAGAAGCATGGATCTACATGTATTAGTTTAAAATCAAGGTCTCATGAATGCAATAATGGTATTAGGTAGAAACCACAACATAATCAAATGACAGTGCTAACCACTTGAAACCAACATTAAATTGAAGTTCAAACACAATACTTCTTTGAAATGTAAACCAATAGATGGAAGTCCTGATTCATTGTGATTATGGGGATAAAACCAAAATCGAGAATTTGCTTTACTTTTGAAGTATTAAAAAAAAAATTGTTTAACTTGGAGGGAATGGGGCTATGCCACTGGTCCGAGGCTTGGCATTGCCTTGCAAAATTTAGTAGTCAGGAAACCGGGTAACATGCTTACTTTAGGAGCTGAAATTTGAAAGTGCACAAAATCACAATGGAACAGCAAAATTCATCAATTAAGCGTCAGCAACGCTAAAACCTCTACCAGCAGCATAATCTACAAAACTGTAGAGAGGCAGTACTCTCTCACCATAATTCTCAAAACCATCCAACTCTTTCTTAGCCTTGGCTTTGAGATCCTCAGCCACCTCTATTGCCTTTTCCACACCATACTTTTCCACATAGCTCTTACCCTTTTTTCTCTTCTCCTCCTCTTTGTTATCGGTCTTTGTTTTTGCTTCCAATACATCATCAACCACTTGATACAATACCCCAACCGCCCTTCCATACCTTCTCAGCCTTTGAATCTCACCGTCTGTGGCATCAGCTAATAGCCCTCCGCAGACAGCAGAACATTCGCCCATTTCACCATATTTCTTTTCTTGGACGAATTCAACAGCATTGGGTCCACCCTCGAGGTCGACAAACTGGCCAGCAGCCATGCCAGTAGACCCCACAGCTCGGGCAATCTCAGCAATAACACGTAGAAGTTGGAGTTCAGGGACAAGGTTTGAAGGGGTGTGGGAGACAATATGCTGGAAGCCAAGTGGAAATAAAGCATCGCCAGCAAGGATTGCCATGTCAACACCAAAGATTGTGTGGTTCGAAGGTTGGCCTCGCCGGAATGGATCATTGTCCATGCATGGCAAGTCATCATGTATCAGTGAAGCCGCATGAACCTGTTTAAAAAACTCAAATGGGGAGCAATAAACACTATTATCTAGAATCCAAGATGCATCATCCATTGCTGAACATTATGTTGAGTCTACAGAATCACTACTCACATGAACATAAACACTGAGCAATGTTGACTCTCTTGTTCTATTTGAAATGGGAAATTTTGAAATCGTGCTAGTGTAACTTCCTATCTATGCTCCCACAAATCTATGTTATCAGTTTGTTATAGTAGTTTTTCCTTCAACCCTAGAATACAATGCAAACACGACTAACCCCCTTAATTCCATTTGTCATTTTCCAAATCATGAATTCCATTAATGAGCTTGATTACTAGATTTTGAGACTCATTAGTTGTACTCTTGCATGCAACTACACATACAAAAAAACTGCAAATAATAATTTATGTATGTGGCCTGAGTGGCATCTTATCCAGCATGTTTATCTTCTATCAGAAGCTACGTTAGGACTTCACAGCAAAAAGAAGAGAAAAAAAAGAAAACAAAAAGATGTTCTATGAAGCAATTTTGTCTATCAATCCTTTCTAAATTTTATACTAGATAGAAAACACAAATGGAGTAAAAAAGGTGAAATTTAAGTAAAGACACAACTGGTCCATTGGTTGCAGCTTAGATTGGTTAAATAACAAAAGAAGGGCATTCATTCTGTACTAAGTCTTAAGAGCCATGATCACTATTAGACCTTAGAAGTGACTCCAGTAATGTTTCCTCTTCCTTTAATAGGCCTATTCTGTTCATCTTTCTTTTATTTTTTTTTAAGCCCGTGCCCTACATGACCAATTTTGGGGTTTTTTTTTTGTTCTTCAAGCATCACTCAGTAGTAACTTGTTCCAAGTATAATAAACTAGGGTCATATGTCAACAACAAAACAGATGCTTACCAACTGAAGCTTATTTTTTTATTCACCCAATAATTCCAAACAGAGATTCAAACGTCATGCAGACCATAGGTTGAAGTTTAATATGGAGATCACAACAAAACTTGAGGAAAGATTCTTGGGATTGATTCTGAAAAATTAATATCGTTGACAATGTCATAAATATTCTTGGGAAAGATTCTTGCATTTTTCACATCGTTGTGGCCTAGTTTTAACAATTCAATCATGTCTATTTTGGCAGTCAACATCAAACAGAAATCCGAAGAAAAGCTATTCCAATCACACAGATTAAACAATAATTCGAAGAGAATTCATTTTATTTGTGCTCATTGAACTAAAAAAACACCATATATCCATATAATAGAACGTCACGAACGAATATAATGGACGTAAAGAGGGCTTAAATTGAAGAAGCAGAAGATATATATATAGAAGTGGGCGGCGAACCATTTCGAGGGCACAGGCGGTGGGGAAGGCGGCGAGGCGGTTGCCGCCAAAGAGCTCGCAGGCAGCGACGCACATGACCGGTGGGGCTCTCTTGGCTCCTTTAGCCAGAACAGAGTAGCGCATGGCCTCATAGATCTGTTGAGGGTACTGAATAGGAATGGCTTCGTCGAGCTTCTGGTTGATCTCTGCAATTAGAGTCATCCAGTAAGTTTTGAGATCAAACTGGATCGAAACTGATGGCGAAACCGAAGTAGAACAACAGCGACTTGTTCTTTGTAGAATTGGCCGTCTCTTTGGAAGGTAGAGATGGGAAGATGACGATACAATTGTTGAGAAAGCCATTATTTCAACTTCCTTTCTCTCTCTCTCTCTCTCTCTCTCCTCTCCGTCTCCGTCTCACTATATCTGTATACCAGTAATTACCGGGCTTTACGCCGCTATATTACTCATCAAATTTTAACTCACAAAAATATTATAGTTTGGATAATTTCAACATAGTAATTAAGATTAATTTTAAACATTTTTTATTAATGTAATTGATATTTTATTTTTTTTATATTGGTCACTTATTTTTTTTTTATTTCTGATTAACTTAGATTTTAAATTTTTTTTTAATTTTTTGATAACTATAAGTTTTCGTATAATAGTAATTTTATTTTTGGTATAAATAATAATTTGATTATTTTATTTATGAATTATAAAGACAATTTAAATTTTATTGATCGATAAGAAATAAGAAGTAAATATGAACTATCGGGTATTAAGATGTGTGATAAGAAGATTTAGTTGCAATGTATTCTAGGTATAAATCAATTTGTAATAAAAATGATGAAAAATTATATAGGCAGTATATAATAGTTTTTAATAAAATATTATACCAAAAGTTTTGAAAAATTCGATATATTAAATAATTTATATGTCCAAAAATAATAATATTGTCTATTTGGGTACTGATTTTTGTGTTGCAGTGACGGTGTGTATGTTATTATTAGAGTCAAATGTTAAACTATCAAACTTTAAAAAATAAGCACTAAATTTAGAGATATTATTTATTTTGTGTGTGTTTAATAGAAATATTTTTAATTTTATGTAAAATTTTACCGTAAAATTAAAAATTAAACAAAACCAACCTAAATCAAAGTACAAACAATACACTTTTAACATATAACATTTGGATCATTTAATTTAAAATGAATTTAATATGAGTTGTTATTGTGTTTTTTAAAATTTAAAATAAAGATGTATAAGAGATAGGAGTGTAGAGTCTTATGATAAAAGGCTTCTTTATGGACGGAAAAAAAAATTCAAGACTAACTGTAGACGGTTAGATCAAAATTTTTATGTTGAGATTACGTTGTGTTAGATGTGTTTATATTTTGTCTTAAAATAATCCAAATTTCTCTTTGTCATTTGAATTTAAACTTCGTATTATTTTATTAGATAGACGTATGCATATATACCAACACTATATGGGGAGTAGAGTTTAATGGTGGAAAATGGAAATTTACGTTCGTGCAAACTCTTGAGAGCATAGCTGCATAGTGGTGGATGAGAGAGGGTTGACTACTAGGTTTTCATCCGGTGTTTGGTGAGGCATCGGGGATCAGTGGTCTCTTGGTTGCTTTTTTGTTTGTCACAGCATTTGATTGGTCCAGATTTCTGTAATTTGAGTAAACTATATATATATATATATATATATATATATATATATGATCCTATAATTTTATTTTATTTTTTATTAATTAAGCCTTAAACTCACTAATTATGATATTTGAACTCTTTTGTCTGTGTTTGTTAAATTTTTTAACAGTGACAGAATGGGTCACTCACGTGAGCGACCTACAACTCATTGATATCTCTTGATAGAAGAAAAAAAATAAATTCGAAAACTTAATTAATAAAAGAGTAATAATTTGAAGACTATACAAATAGTTTACTCAATGGTATCAAACGAGGTCTCTTATCTTATTATCTTTAATTTGGTTTTAGAAATTTTAATTGTTCTAATTTAGTTCATAAATTATTAATTTCTTCCTAATTAAGTTCTTTCATATATTTTTGCTGTTAAATTAATCAAAAATTAGTTCAACCTAATTAATTTTTATTGTACTAATGTTGCATAATTGAATGATTAAATATAAATAACAAAAAATTCAAGGATTAAAGTAGAATTAAACTGTCGGAGAAAACCGGGTACCCGAACTTCCGGTCCTCCCAAAGCTACGATCATCTTCCAGCCATACTCTTCCAATTTTCTCAAGAGTTATTATCATTCAGAAAATCCCAAAGCCATGGCTGAGTGGTCTCAGCTGCCTAAAGACCTACTAGACCTCATTGCTAAACACCTCGACTCCGAATTCGATCTCCTCCGATTCCGATCCGTCTGTTCCTCTTGGCGATCCTCTGTTCTATCCAATCCCTTCTCATCCCCTTCCCGCTTCCCTATCCTCCCAAACGATGGAATCTCCGACACCACCTGGGGTTTCTATCTCTCCAAACGCACCATTTATCGTATTGGATTACCCCAACCCTATCCCCAAAAATCTTGGCTCATCAAATTGGAAAAAGACAACCCACAGAGAATGCATTTGTTGAATCCCCTCTCAAAATCTGAATTCAAACCTCTTCCTTCTGATTTCCCCAAACCTTTTGATTTATCAAATTTTCGGGTGTTTGAATTAGGACATGAGTATACTCTTCAGTACATAAATTATTGTCGGCCAAGGAATTCGATTAGCGATGCTGGAAATTTGTATATGGAGAAGATTGCATCTTCTGGGTTGGGAATTGATGCGTTTGTGCTTTTGACCATTCACGTGTCGGGCAAGCTAGTGATGTTGAGGTCTGGCGATAAGAAATGGAGTTTAGTGGATGATTTGTCTCCATTGTATGATGATGTGATATTTTATAAAAGTGAGTTTTATGCTGTGGATGATACGGGACAAACTGTAGTGGTTGATGTGGGTTTACCTCCCAGTGTGAGTGTTGTTGCACATTCGGTTTTTGGTGGGGATAAGAAGGTATTGGTGGAGTCATGTGGGAATTTGTTGTTAGTTGATGTGTATTTGAGTGTTGGGCCTGAGGATGATCTGGGTTACGTGGAAGAATTCGAGTTTTATGAGCAGTTTGATTGCTATATCAGTGAGAGGACGGTCAGGTTCAGGGTTTTTGCGTTGGATAGAAGTGGGGAGAAGTGGGTTGAGGTGGAGAGTTTGGGGGATAGGATGTTGTTTTTGGGTGACAATTGCACGTTTTCGGCCTCAGCTTCTGATTTTCCCGGGTTTAGAGGGAATTGTATATTCTTTGCGGATCAGTTCTTTTATTCAGGTAGGGAAGAAGAGGGGGTGTTGAAGAGTCGAGGCATTGGTGTGTTCGATTTGGAAACTGGCAGTATTGGTCCATTAGCTGATTATTCTGGTTATTCAGAGCTGTTTTGGCCACCCCCTGCTTGGGTTACTTCGACCTCAAATACGTTGGAAGTAAGTGTTGTTTCTCTTATGACTATGTTTCATGTTTAAATGTTGGGTATAGTTTGATGTCAGTTTATTAACCATTGCCAGTGACACATTGGAAGATGTTTGCTTTTTGTGGTTAATCTGAATCTGCATTGATGCTTATACTTGTAGGTCCATATTGTCTTGAATCTTGATTATTTTGAGCCAGACTAAATGTATCTGTTGAGGGCTATGTATTCGGTTACATTATAAGCAACTATATCCTTCTTCGATATGAATTTTGGTCCTCCTTTCCTCATAGTATTTTCAGTAGTGGTAATCATGTCACTCTTCCGCACTGGTCTCTACTTATTTATCTTTCGTGGTACATGTTCAAAGCATTTTCATTGATTCTTTCTCAAATGATCTTCCACTGATGCTACTATGCTAATTGATGAAATGAACTCCATTGATGCTACTATGTTGGCTCACAAAGGTATTCATTTCCAATGTTGCTTGTCTTATCACATTCGGTTTTGTGAAAGTTATACATACCTAGAGCACTTGCTGCCATCTTTTCTGTAAAGCAGACATTGTTATACACTTGACTTTTGGTTGCATTGTAGTTGGACAGAAAATGTGCTGTGTGGCTTTCTACATCAATGGAATTAGATATTATCAGTTCTAGACTAAGTTGAGGCTTGAGAGTGATGACTTCATTTTGCATCAGGTTTCCCTTTGGGCCACATGTGACAGTTGGTAAAATTAATATACTTTGAATGAGAGTGGATAGAATAGATAAAAAGGACCCACCCTTGTGACTTTATTTGAACAAAGTGGCTTCCAGGAGGTTCAAAATTGTAAGCTTTCATTGATTAAACCTGCGCAAATGAACTGTTTTTTCTTGATTGATTAAAGCAATGTTTATGCAGGTGGGATTAAATCAGCTCCAAATTTAGCTTTGCGAACGTCCCCTTTTCCTGGGGGAATATGAGAAGGAAAGCAGACGGGTTGGATGGAAGCCACGATAATATGCTTTCCCCAGACAATTACCTCTTTGCTGTTTATGTCGTAAATTAAGGGCAATGTTGAATAATGCCTTTCAAAAGAAAGTACGTTCACTAACAAGGAAAATAATTTAATTTTTAATTTTTTTTGGTTTAAAATTGGAAGTTTGTTTGATGATTGTTTCTTAAAAGTAATATATGTGGGTCTTGATCTTGATATATTTACAATACACTAATATGTGCATTTGTGTACAGTCAAATCACTATGGCTTGGTCATCGCTTGTATTTCTTCCTCTCGATGTTCCCTTGCTTTAATCTTTACAATATCCTTTTTCTGTTTGCCTTGCCATGATTCTGCTCTTTAGAAATGGCCTACCGAGGTAGTGTTCATTCTTGTAAATAGGATACATATTACATGAACATTAATACGTAGAAAGAGCATGTTGGTTTAGTTGGTTTGAGTACCACGTACTTTGTGGGATTTTGTTCAATGTATCGAGGAACTTCTGTATGGCCTCTGGCTGGCAGTTGTCACGATTAAACCAATCCAATGGAGTTCATCGTTTGTGTTAGTATGCAGGCTGCAACAAAACAGGTGGGAGAGATAGGAAACCTTATTAATAATCATATATTGGCGGCACACCGTCTCAACCCCAACTGCTATATCACGAGTGATGTATAGCTGTAATCTCTCTCTCTCTCTAGAAACTCCACCGTCTACCAAACAAGGGTTCTACGTCAAAGTATTGCCTTTGAATATGCATATCTATATATATATATATATATATAGGGTGAACACAAGAATTATATACTAACACATATCATGTAGGTTATACAAAGGGTTCCCAACTGAGTTTATTGGCATTCTGTCTACCTCCGCCAGATAACTCCTCTCTCTCTCTCTCTCTCTCTCGCACCCATGGAGGTAGTGGAGGTGGGCATCTTGCCAACGAAGCTCCGTTAGCTTCTCTTTGTGAAACCCATGTGATCAAATCCTCATGGCACTTTCTCTGTTTCTTCCTTCTTTGCAGTTGTACTCACCATTGTCTTACCTTCATGTTGCAATGCTTCTTTTTTTTGGGTATGATGTGCCTCGCCGTGTTCATTATTTTGGTTTTAGTCGGTATGTTTTCTTTCACACCTCACCGGCTGTACACAGGTTACTCAATAGTTCAAGCAGACTTTTTTTTTTTGTTTCTTTTTTTTTGTGGGGGCGGGGGGAGAGAAGGGAAATTTAAACCCTTAATCTCAAAGCGTTCACAAGATAAAGAATACCATTAGACCAGAGACTCGTTAATAATAATAGTTCAAACAGACTGAAAGGCTTTCAATCTGCTCTGCAAACATACACAATCCACTATCCTTTGTTCGTTTCCCCAAAGGCTGAAAAAGTGATGCAATGCTTTATACAATTAATTTTAGAACTAACAACTGTTCTGAATGAAAAAAGTTTGTGCCAGAGAGACTTCAAATGTTGTTACCATCCCAACCAATATGTTCTCCATGGCACCTCCTTCACTCAACCAAAAGCCTATCTTGTCAAACCGAGAACATGCATTAGCTTTAGCTAATTAGTAGCTTTAAGTTTTTGCTATATAAGCTTTTATACTCTAAACCAGAAACTTCTGAGTACTAGTACCACGAAATTTCCGAATTCAAGCTGAACTACACTTTTGGTTAAATGTTCAGAAGTCTTTCCATGTATACTAAAAGGTTTGATCGTTTACCTGTAACAAATCTTAAGCTTAATTTGAAATGCCTGCAGTGACCAAGTGCTCTATAAATAACAACAACCCACAATTCTGACTTTTTTTGTCGGGCAATGATTTTGGCTATATCTACATCATTTACTGGGATCAACATGTTAACAGATCTACAGCCCTTACTAAAGAAATATCCCAGTCATAACATAATACCTATTTTTCCATCTAGAACTAGATGGAAAATCATGATCAATACTTTGAAACATGATTATACCAATTGGCTATTGCTAAACAAATATACAAGATCATAGCCACCAACCTTTCTCAGCACCACAGAGACTAGCCACCTTTGCCCAGCATGCAACTCCAATGGTTGTAGGAAGAATCACTTAATCACGCTCTGGAGCATCCCCAGAAACTTTCCTGGAACTCAGATTCCCCGCATATGACCAAAATTTCTCTAAGTCAGCAGGCATTACTTTTGGTGTCCCCTTTGCCCCATTCTTGTATAAAGGGGAAGGAACCCTACCAGGGCTAGCAACCATGGGAGGGGATGAACAAAAAGTTGGAGTTGCAAATGGAGAGGCATAAGGGGTGTGCTGAATCGAGAAGGGGCTAGGAGACATCCGCTTTTGGATGGGAAGACCACCTAAACCTCCCCGGCTGAAAAGGGACATCGATTCTGCAGCAGCACAGCACTTGGAAGCATCATCTACATAAAGGACGTCATCTATCCTCGCCATTATGTTAAAGGCCAAGCTCTCCATTACTCTTGAGTAGCTTTCAAGAATTGACTGGCCTACATCCTGCACAAAAGTGGGAAAAAGGGTAGGAAACCTTCTGAGAGTAGAAACCTGGCAACACTGATAAGTGTGCCTTTGTTCTCTCTTTCTTAAATGAGTATGTAGTATAGCATCAAGAAATGAAACCATTGTTCCACCAAGAATATTTAGAGTTTCCACTAGAAAATCATCAAAATGAAGTAATTACTTTGTGTATGGTGCTGAATGAGCTATAGACCAATCTATAATCCACTTCCTAAGGCCATGAAAATGTTCAGTACAACAATTTAATTTGTGCTTGACAGGATAGGATCAAGTCTCACTGAATGTATGATAATAAAATCAATCTACCTCGATATTGTTAATGTTGCAAGTCTTCTATATTCTTTGGTTTGAAATCATCCCCTCTTGTTTTTTAGGAATCAAGGTTTTTGTTCATTAAATACTAAAGAAAAGTTTGGTACAAATTACCTTGTTGTATTGAATTTTGTTCATATCTAATGCAGTCTGTGGAAGGCCTGGAAAGAGAAGTCTCAGGCTATGTAAGAGGGTTTCTGCTCGTTGTGCCATAAATAGGTTCTTTTTGCCATCAGCAACAAGGCCCTTGACCTTACCACCCCACGCTTTATGCTTAGCTTTCAGATGGCTTTTACGTTTTTTCCGATCTTTCAGCTTCCACACATGCACAGCTGCCTCGATCCTGTTTGCCACTTCCAAGGTATGATGTTCTGATGATAGGTCAAGGCAATCAAGAAGACATTCTGAGGAGAACTGATCAGCAATTATGTAGCGATAGATGATGTCTCCCAGGCAAGCTTTTCCACTCTGAAGAAAGATAACAAGAAAAAGACTTAAAAAGAATGGATCAACCATTAGAATACCATTGACTTATAGATATGGTGATTAGTCATTCTGAGCACAACATCCACTGAGATGCTTGTCAACTAGTGCCCAACACATGCTATCTTTCAAATAGAGAATAAATAGCTAAATCAGAAACCATAAAAAAAACTAAAATCAACTTGATGGCAACCAGAAAATTTTGCTTCGATTCTTTCTCAACATTTCGAATTCAATTGCTACGAATCTTCTCTACTCTTTCTGCCATTTTTTTGTTTAATAGCATATGCATCTAAGCCTTTCATGCTAGCTCAAATTATGACTATTGTTTTATCTGCTGTCATCCAGTCATTCAGGCAACATACTCAAACACAAATCTTATCACACCTCTGTTGGATCAAAAATCTCCACTTAATTAAATCTCATCTGCCAGCATTCAGTGATAACTCTGACTCCCTTAATCTGTCTCCTTAATTTGGTTTTCATTCATCTCAACAGCCACATCACAAATAAGCATGTGTCCTACATACTCAAAATTGTTGCATAATAAGAAAGACTCGGTGTCAATATCTTTTGTATACCTTCATGTCTAACAACATAGAATCTGATAATCCAATAATGTGATCCTTCACTTCAATCGTCTCAATCCAATGTTAGGCATGTCATCCTCTTCAGTCATTCCCTCAATAGAAATAAATAATGGATGTAATATCATCACATTAAGACCACCAACAAACTTTAAAAGGAATAAAATTGGGTTCATGTCAGATATTGTTTTTAGGTTTCAAAGCTAGTTGATATAAATTAGTTACTGTCCATTCTTTGCACTTCTGCAATATCCCCACCTTCAAATGAAATACCAGACTGGTATTGGTACAAAATGCAATGACAAGTTTTCAATTTCTCGGATTGGATTTTGTGTATTCATTTCATGTTGAATAGTTTCAGTATTAGTAAATATTCAACTTCTTATTTCAGTCTGATAAAAAAAAAACTTCTTATTTCAGCATCTTCTTAATTTCAGCTTTGCCTTCTGGTTTTTGTTTTCTGTTTGTTTACCATGCCTAAACAATAAAACATTTCAAATCATTGAGACAAAACCACCTGTAAGAGAAAAGATAATTTGAATAGCAATGGAATTTCATAGGCAAGCATGCATCTATCATTGTAGTTCAGTACAACAGCATTCCACATTTTCAAAGAAGCCTAAACTATCCAGCCATCCAATGACTATCTTTTGAAGGACATTGCAATGATTCCAAACTATGATTAGGCAAAATGGGATATGTCATATGAGAGTGGTGGAAGCATATGTCAAACTCAAACACCATGAGTACAGTCTTAACTCCAGAAAATCATCAAAAGCAAGCTGCCAACATTGCACAAGGTTTAAATTTAACAAAACTTTTCTACAGTAATAAATGATAAGAAAACTAATGACCATCAAAAACACATTGTCAACCTAATGACATCAATCAGATCCAAAGTAAAACAAAGAAACCAAACCAATTATAGTATCTATGGATATGTTTCAGGAAATTTAGTTCTCAGCTTGCTTATATATATTATATCATTTGTAGACTGAACATTGAAACCCATACCTTGGGTAAAGTTTCTAAGTAAGCATTAGGAATCTCCATCTCAGCAAGCACATTGCTATTGATTGCCAAGGCTGCCTTCAGTATCTGGTTCGTACAGTCCCTGCATTGCTGCAACCTCTTCCTTGCATCCACTGACAACCCTTTTGGAGGAACTTTTGGGTATGGGAGCCACCACTTCTCTTCCTGCCTAATTGAAGGCCTTCCACCTGACATACCCAATGGATACTCATCACAGTTGTCGGCATCAGGGACAATTATACCGCGATCAACATACCAAAATTCCATCTCACGAAACCCATCAAGGATACTAATTAACATAGCATCAAGCTTTTTTAGTGCAGGGAGATTCATATACAAATCTGACCGCGGCCTTGTTGCCATTACTTCATATGTGCCTCCACCGGGGAATTGTTGTATGGAAGGCACAAGCTCTACAATGGAATCACTCACACATAGGAGCCACTCCATCTCTCTGCACCACATTGCCTTCTTCTGTGGTGCCAATGGCTCCAACCTCCACAGCTCCCCAAATACAGTGGCTACCATTTCAAATGAAGAAAGATATCAATAAAGCATATAACAAACAACTCACTGGTAAAAACACACACATGAACAGAGAGAAGATGGGGCTTTTTTTTTTTGGGGGGTGGGGGGTGTAAATGTGCACTGACCAGAGAGATTTGTAATGGCGTTTGAGATTGCAAGGGCAGTACACACTCCTTTACCACCACCAGACATGTCTTCACCAAGAAGAAGCTTAGCAAATCTTTCTTTCATCATTTCAACCTCTGTAGATGCATTAGAAGGGAACAAAGATTTTAACATAAACTGTTCTACGAGCACATTATAAATCTATTAGACATATGTATTAATATATTTGTAAATATTCATATTTGTTAAAATTTATGCACTTTAACAATAATGGAAAATTTTTCTCGATGAGAAGATTCATGGTAACATGTTGCAAAGTAAGATCTACTTGCAACTAAAAATCAGCAATATAATCAACTCACATTCAACGTACAATGAATACTCACAATTAAATAATTATAGAGAAACAAATGTGTAATTATAATGAAAATAGGTCTATAACTACGGGGTGAAATGATGCAGAGTACAATCTATTCAATGCCTGAAGCTTGAAAATAAATCATTGACCATAAATTTACCAGAACAAACACACCAAGTGGACAATAAAATCGGTGAAATGAAAGCACACAAATGAAGATGTACCAACCTGACAAATCGGTCTCACGTTTCTCAGGCTTCTTATCGCAAACCACCACATCTTTCCCGCCAATCACCGGAAACATCAAAGGCGGTGGCATTGGAGCCGGAAAAGTGGAATTTCCAGTCAATTGACCACAAGCGAGCGGAGACGACGCCATAGAGCTCGACGCACCTTCGCCGTAGCGCCGACACGAGAAGCTACTCGAACTCTCCGACTCGCTCACATCCGCACTCAAACTGTAACTTCCACATCTCTCACTCTGTCCATCGAATCCATCTTCAGACGACACACTCCCCATAGCTGACAATCAAATGTCTATAAAAAGCTTAATTCGAAGCAAATATAAGGATCTCAGATGTACATTTTCGTCTTTGTGTGCGCAAATGATAGCCAACCGTGGTCTGTGAATTTGCAGATATGGTAGTGGTAGTGGTAGTGGTGGTGGTGGTGGAGGAGGAGCATAGGAGGTGGTGGTGGAGAGTGAAAAAGTGAAGGCAGAAGATAAAGCAAGTGCAGGTTTGGCTTACCCTCAGCGTACTCCTTCCTTCCAGTTCTCTTCTCTCTAAAATTCTTTTTTCTCTCTCTATATAAGAGTGTATGTATATGTGTAATGTACCACCATTATGCACTGCAAAAGAAAAAGTAGACGGCGTTTGCAGGGTTATCTTTCCGTAACGACAGAGCTAAGGTTACTATATACTACTATTGACATACCATATCCACCCGACACGGTCCTTTTCTTTCTCCAATCTAATGCGGTGGACCTATGCCACGTAGGACGATTCTGATGACGTGGAGTTTATGGGGAATCTGGGTCTCCTATTGAGGGGTGGAGGACATGGGGTCCACGGGTGGGTAATTGATGGTGGCCGTTGATTTGGGTGGAATGTGAAGGGAATTGGCGTGTGATAGAGACGAAACGGCTGTGGTTATTTAAGAGGGAAGTATATGACGCGCGCCTTCCTATGGTTGTAAGATGTGAGCTCTCTCTCCCAGGCGTTGGATCTGAGAATCCGTTGGAATGTGGGTCTGATCTCTTCTTTTTTAAGTCTACTTTCGGGCATGATGATGTATGTATGGTGGCAGATAAAAGTGGGTTTGGGATAGGGAAGGATATGTTTAACCCGGAAAAACGATGAAATCCAAACCCGGTTTCTCTGCAAACTGAGAGATTCGGTAACGTCACAGAATCACTGTATGAATCGAACGGTTGTATCTTGTCCTTGTACGTGAAAAACAGCTTTGATCACTTTATCATGAATCTTTGATCATTTGAACGGTCGAGATCTTTCATTATGATTGCATCTCAGCCGTCAATGAAAGCCCCACTCAGTTTTGGGATGCCCGACGTATGATTGGTTGGATGTGTTGTGTGTGTAATGGAGTAGTGGTTTGAGAATTGAGACTTATTAAGTCACGTGATGGGCGTTGGGGATGAACCAGTAGGTCGGCTGGTCGGGTACTTTGTGACGGGCCTACTACACCAATTTGCGTCTAGGACTGGGGACCGTTGTCTTAACATGAAGGGAAATTTCACTTTATTCCCGTGTTGTTTAAAACATTTATACATTAACCCCTTAAAATTCTAAAATTGCACATAACTTTATTTGTGGTTGTTGGACTAAAATTAATAACTCATCTCTTCGTGGATATAAATTTCCCAAGTGGTGAATTGGGAACACCATTTTTAACAGAACATAGTAATATCGAAGCATGTGGTGTTAAATGATGATTTCTTCTAATTAATTTTATGAGTCAACAAGATACTAATAGATTTTTAAAGTTAGTTATGTTGATTCCCATAGGATTAACCCTATTAAAGAACTGACAATCCCAACTATAGTCATTTGATATTATTGGGTTATGTTTTGTTGATTCACATGCGAGTACAATCTTTAACGTGAGCACAGACCGGACGTTCAAATTACCCCATCAATTTTAAATGCTTAAACGTTTGAGATAGGACTTACGAGTGCATGGGTAGGGTTTGGAATAAGAAAATGTTATGTAATAATAAAAATCAAAAGGTTAAATTCAAATAAGTATCATTCCATTCATTGAATGAGTGTGGAAGGAATAGATCTCACTAAAAAAAATTNCCAAAGGTTAAATTCAAATGCGTATCATTCCATTCATTGAATGAGTGTGGAAGGAATAGATCTCACTAAAAAAAATTAATAGAACCTATTCATTCAAGAAATGATATACATTTGAATTAAAATTTTTTGAATTTTATTTAAATTTTGTAACATTGCTCTTTAAAATATTAACTTGCGTGTGATTTAATTTGCACCATTTTCAAGTTCATTTTAACACGTTGCAATGATATTAATTAGATTTAAAGTGATCTCTATGGGTATTGAACTTGTATGGGATTGAAAAAATAAATAAATAAATCTTTAGAGTGACAGAACTCAATATATTTTCTATTATTTTACACCTTGAAAGATTTAAATTTTTTTATTTTATACCCTAAAAATGAGATTTCTCGCATTACATTACCAATATATTAAAAATATTATAATATAGTCTTTCTGTAAATTTTTGTTGCTTATTTCATCAAAACTCACCCGATTAATTCAAAATGTGTTTTCAGTTCTCTGCGTATATTTTGCATGTTTTAGAGCCCCCATTAAGCGAATGGGGGGAAAACTAACCATGAGCTTGTCTTGAAGTAGAAGGAAGCAAGAAGAAGTAAGACCCTTAGTGAAAATATCAGCTACTTGATCAACAGTGGAGATATACTTAGTAGTGATATCATTGCTCTCAGACAAAATAATAAACTTCAATGTGCTTTGTTCGAGCATGAAACACAACATTAGAAGCAAGAGAAAAAGGGTACCGACATTGTCACATCATAACATTAGTGGAGATGTGATTGGGATATGAAGGTCCTTGAGCAATATATGCAACCAATATAATTCTACAGTGACGATGACCACGGAACGATATTCAACTTCAGCGCTAGAGTGGGAAGCCGTGGATTGTTTCTTTGCACCCCAAGAAACATGACATGGTCCAAGAAATATGCTGAAACCACTGCTGGAGCGACGATCATCGGGGCCTCCCACCCAATCTGAGTCACAATAAGCAGTTAATTGAAGGGATCCTTTAGCATAATACAAGCCATGATCAAGGGAATCAAGGGAACCCTTAAGATATCGAAGAACACATTTTGCAGCAGTCCAATGAACAGTGTTGGAGAATGCATAAATTGACACAATTGATTGACAGCAAAAACAACATTTGGTCTTGTCAATGTACAATATAGTAAAAACTCCCACAACCTGGCTATATTCAGATCCATCTGGTAAAGGATCACTATCAAACTGAGACAATTTAGAGCCTGAGATAAAGGGAGCTGAGTATGGTTTGGCCCCAATCATCTTCGTACGGTGGAGAAGATCAGTGATGTATTTGGATTGAGTAAGATAGAGCCCATTTCCATCTCGAAATGCTTGACAACAAGAAAGTAACTAAGTGGCCTAAGGTCTTTCATTGCAAAATCTTCCTTCAACCGATTGATAAGAGTCACGATGACATCTTCATAGGTACTTGTGACAATGATGTCGTCAACATAAATAAGAACAAATATATGAATGGCTTTATCATGAAAAGTAAACAATGAGCAGTCAATTTGAGATTCCACAAAACCAATAGTAAGAAGCGACTGAGATAGCCTAATAAACCAGGCTCAAGGAGCTTGTTTGAGCCCATAATTTGCCTTATGACGGCGACAAACATAATCAGGATGTGTGGGATCAACAAAACCTTATGGTTGCTCCATAAAGACCTCTGCTGTTAGGGACCCATGAAGGAAAGCATTATAAACATCCAGTTGTCGAATTGGCCAATCAAATTGAATTGCAATAGCAAGACCATGACGTATAGTTGTTGATTTAACAACTGGGCTAAATGTCTTAGTGTAATCAATGCCATCCTTTTGATTTGTTGGAGTATAGATAGTAGTCTAGGTTTATTAGGATTTCTTTTCCCTTTTTTACCCTTACTATGATTTTTATATTTTGCCTAAACTACAAGGATGTTTAAGTCACTCTGTATTATTTTTGGCTATATATACGGGACTCTACTTTGAGTTTGAGTATCCCTTTCACATATTCCAAGTTGGTATCAGAGCCAAAACCCTAGCCTCCATCTCTAAGCCTAACCCTAACCTTAACCCTAGCCTTCATCACCTTCCCAGCAGCCACCATTCCACTGCTCAAACAATCTGCAACAGCCTGCCCAACCTCCAGCGCCACACCCAGGCCACCAGAACCAGCGACTCCATACCAGCGGACTGCCTCCATACACATACAACACCGACTGCCTCCAACCAATATACATACAACACCGACTGTTAAACCAGCAGCTCCACCGACAGCCCATAACAAACACCACCGACTGCCCCACCGATAGAACCCAGTCCACTACCCCAAGTCCCAGTCCCAAGTCCCAAGTCCACTGCCCCACCGATAGAACCCAGCCAAAAAAAAACACCACCGACAACTCTAACCTCTCCTCCACGTTGCAGCCACCAGCCACCACACTGAAACTGATTGCCTTAACATCTACACCGACTGCCTCCACTCCATTAAACCAGCTGCTCCACCGACAGCCACATAAACCAAAACCCAAAACCCAGCCAACAACACATCAAACCAGCGACAGCCATACATATACAGCCCACTGCCCTGCCATAACACCGATCAGCCCCACCGAATAGCCATACATATACAGCCCCACCGAATAGCCATACATACATACCAAAACCACCAACAACTATTCTTTGATCAATAACTCATAACCCATAACCCAGCCCACCTCAATTCGTCGACCCACTGCCCGGTCCAACCCAAACCAATCCTAGACCAGCCCCAAACCAGCCCACTCATCAACCCGCTATCGGGTCACGTGTATCTTTTCGTCACAGTGTCGCTATTTTTTCGCGCCACCTTTTTTTCTAGAGTTGCAATATCTAGGCCTTTTTGAGGAGGCACCAGATCCTTTTCTCCGTTGATCTGCTTTTAATGCAGTAGATCATTTATATTTATTGGATTTCTGGGCACCGTGACTTGATTATTTGGGAGCTTTTTGGACCTTCCTTATTTGTCGCTACTGTTCGACTGAAGGTATATTGTTCTCCCTTATTTTATTCCTCTATTTATCTTAGAGTTATTTTTCTGTCACGGGTGCCCTAGTATTGTTGTTGATATGGCTACTACTGAGGGACTTGAGAACCCTACTGTTGACACCTCTACCGTTGAGACATCTATGGGTACTTCCACTTTTATGTTTGACCAGTATACAGTGCCTACTAGCACAGTTGCATTACCAGCATTACCGGGCATGATCTCTCAAAAAGTTACGGCACAATTGTTGAATGGTCGTAACTTCGCTGAGTGGTCACGCTCATTCCAGCTTTTCTTAGGCCGTGTAGGGAAGCTTGGTT